TGACGGCGGCGTTTGCTTACGCTGTGCACCCTCCCATGAAAACGCAGCCACGCTCCGTGCGATTTACGTCACTGCAGTTTTTATTCGATGAATGAAATAGCTCAGCTCTCGTCAAGTACGGCCCGAGAGGTGAGCGCTGGCCGAGCAGGTGCTGCAGAGGGTCACTCACAGGCATGGGACACCTGCCCAGGGGGGCAAGAGTCACACAAAGAGGTCCGAACGCGCGCAGACATACACACGTGTGCAAATACACACCTGCACACACATACTGAACCCAAAGCAGGAGCAGTAAACCCTGCATGGGCATGGGCTGTCCAGCCACAGTGGCACTATGAATTCCGGTCACAGCCCATGAAAGAGTCGGGGGGGGGGAAGAAAAAAAAAAAAAAAGCAGCAAGTTGTTAATACACCATCAGGAAATGAGCATTTGATTTAGCCAGTTCTGAATTAGTATATGACAAAATCACCATATGAACAGAGTAACTGCAATTCAAAAGATAATGCATCAATACAACAGCCACCAGGCTGGACTTAGTAATAGATACACCGCACCCGGTGAAAGGGAACATCTTTCATCTCTTCCCTGTGATCCCTGGCATAGTCCCAAAGATGATAATCAAGTAAAACCGCGTTGATCTTTTCACTCATGTCCTGACCCTTCTTCTCATAGAGCTCCAGCAGGTGCTTACAAATCAATGTACAACACCAAATCGAACAGCCACGGATCTCCACCTCCTCTCTATCTCCAGACTGGAAAATTGTTCCTGCAGGACACGAGACAGCAATCCAATTACATTCTAGAGACAGAGGCCCCAGGACAGCCTGAATTTACTTCCCCATTTATTCTATTCTAGGACTGCACTTTTCATTGCTTAGATAGCAAAATTTTTAGCAGTTGTAGTGTATCTTCTAATGATGACTTGAATTCTACCACATGCACTTGTAAGTTTACCCCCCATTCAATTCAAACAACATCCTGTACTTCAAGAAAGTGGTTTAAGAAAAGACGGTGTTTGTGTCATAATGCACATTATACAACTATTTCTTTGCTTGTGGAAACAAAAGGAATAATCAAACCTAATTCCTAGATGAAGTGCTTTCTGCCAGGATAAAAGTTTAAGAAAAACCAACCAAACAACCCAAAAACCAAAAAACTATATATATAAAAATATAAAGGGACCAATTTATTTGAATGACTTAGATGGGAATGTCCTCATTAGTATTCATGGAAAAGCTAAATTGTCTACATGATCTATATATACAGATACACATATATGTGTATATATACACATGTGCATATATATATGACCATCCTATTAAGATCCATGGACAATTGCATTCATCTGTTTATCTTGCTGGGTAATTCTAAAGTTGCATAATAGCAGTCCTACCTCTAAATACAGTCATTTTACAGTGGAAAACGGACTGGTTTATGTTTTTATTCACTGAAGTTTACAGTTAATAACTATTGGAAGATGGAACCATGGTTAATAACGAGACTAGTCTTATGCAATTAACTTAATTTAAAGCAACCTTTTTTTTTAATGGATGCTTATAATATTACCTTGCTTGCCACCAGCAGTTCACTAGAGATAAAGAGGAATATCCATACTTTTACATCATGTTTTAACTCATGCAGAAATTGTTGTTAATTTTATGTAAACCTCAAAAATCACAACTATACTCATACTGAAAAGCATTTTTGGCAACAGCAGCCCTTCAGAAACTTGGAGATAACTGGCTTGGAGTCTCTTTAATCCTTTCCTTATCAATGTTTAACCCAAGGAGCAGCCAGACCTTCACAAAAACATAATCTTAAAATCTCATTCAAGATCACTGCTAGAGAGCAAGTTTCTACCCATTACCTCATCACTACATAAGTCCTTGTTCCCTGAAGCAAAACAATAAAAATACACATAACCCTTACATGGACAAAACATTACATTTTAAAAGTAGCTTTAGTCTATAACCTCAAGAGGTAAGGCTAGCTGATATAAGTAGAGGGAGGAACAAACCTTCACGTAGTTTCTTCATTAGTTTTTCAGAATACTTCATTGCTTTTAAGTGAACAAGAACTTGAGGAATTCTGTAGTCAGCAAATATAGTCAGACTAGAAATGTCATCAAAAGCACCATCTCCTTTGCCTTCCAATACACTCCATGTATCAGCCACAAGTATTTGTGCCCGTTTGTAGAAAGAAACCTTTTTTTTCTGAGGAAAGAAATTTACCAATTATTTAAGTGCCTGACACATCAACAAATACAGCAAAAGATATGTACAAAGAGACACAGGCAAGAGTTATACTGTCCTACCAAACAAACTATCATTTGTCTAGGTACACATATGAGTTAACTAAAACAGAATAAAAGTGCAACACTCTTAAACACCTTAAAATTTAAGCAATAACAAACCACAAACAAATATCATATGGAATGCTCAAATATAAATTGAAGTAAAAGAAAAACATAGTAGAAGTCACTGCAGTGGAATAAAAATTGTTTGGATTCTGCTTGGATCTCAGAACATATTATTGCTCGTTTACTTCTACTTGGCAAACACTGCAGCTGTAGTCCTGACAACATTAATTCTTTCATAAACCCTAGAGTTCAAACCTTTTATTTAGAGGAAAGACATGTAAAAGGTATGTATTGGATCAGACAATTAAAACATTTCATTAATCAATTTATCTGACATGTTAAGGAAATAAAATTCTAATGAAAACTTCAATGAATGGTCCTGTGCTGTGTAGTGTATCTTGCTAGTTAAAGAGAGGAAAATTAATTCCAGCAGAAAGTGTATTCACAAATATGAGATTTTCTTAGATACTATGCATGGTTCTATTTTTGTCATAAATGTTTTTGCTGGTGCTAATCCTGCAAAGATCTACATGCCTTTGTGACTACTCACAAGGAGAAAAACTAAAGATATGCTACAATCTGTATGCTGTTGCGGTTTTTACTCTTTGATGAACACAAGGTGTGAATGTAAATCCACATCTTAGAGAAAAAAAGGTTTTAGTTGGTTATGGTTTTTTCCCTCCTTTGTAACTAGACGAGATTTTTGACTTTTGACAATGTGTGCTGAACAATAAGTAACTGGAATGGTTAATGGCTGGTGGGGGTTTGACTTATTTCCAGTTTTATTCTGCCACCCTTCATATCACCGCAATTTACAAATGGTGTTTAAGCTAATTTAATTTTACTTTATTGCCAAGATGCTACAACTATTCCTGAAAGCAAGGCATATTTGTTGTCATTAAACGATATTCTCCAAACACACTGAGAACAAGATGTCCAACTGCATTTCACAGAACAACTTCTGTAAAAATCCTGAAAATGCCTTTTTTCCCTGTGCTTCATTCTATGCTTGACATAGATGCACAGAGGTACTTCTAGAGATATACACAATTTTATACATTAAATAACAGAATGCCACTTGAAACATCACAATGGGAAGTAAATAATTAACAGACCAAATTCCATCATAGCTCCTACTACCCCAAACCTAACAGAAACCAAGCACATTGCTCTTTTGTAGCATTAAGATTTTTACAATATAGTAAAGAACTGATTGTCTCCAGCACCCCCATTTTGCAAGAGCAGAAGAAAGGAGAATTCAAATGGAACTTTTCATCTCATGCTGCATTTTAATCTGAAATAAAAATACTGTCTGGGACTTGTGGTCGAGCAGATGAATTTACAACTTCATTGTTTCAATTACTGTTAATTTTTTATGCTGCAAAGAGCTTCTGAAGTTTGCATAAATTTCACAGTATGAAAAAGACTATTAAGCATTTCTAGTAAATTTTCCCACCATTCTTTTCAACAGAGAGCATGTATAGCATTAGGTGGATGATACTAGGTCTCAAAGATAGTACAATTTGTCCAAATGTCCGAAAATATAACTACAGTTCTTTTCTTTCGGCAACACCTTCATTTTCCAGGAAAAGCTGCCACATGCAGGGACACTCATGTCTCCTCTCCACTACAATGAGCCAGTATCAATGGCATAACCAACTATGACCTACTGACACTGAAATAAATAAGGTGTACGGTGTTGGCAAAGAGCAAAATGTGATATAGCACAGCTAGTTAAAAAAAGCAAAGAGGAATATTACAAAAATCTTACAACCTTGGTTCCAGGTGACAGGAAATAAGTGATAAATACACGCAACATCCATCACTGAGAAGCTCAGAAAGGACTCCACTGTGTCTATGTCAAAACATGAAAACCCTGATATGCAAGTATGACAGAGTCTAATATTTAAGCTTCTGTCAGGATTCCAATTCAGCACAGTGTCTAAACACGAACTATCCACCCAAGGGCAAAAAGGCTGCAGGAAATTCATTTTGGTTTGCAATTCACTTTTGTCCTGGGTCCAGCTGGGATAGG